AAAAAAAAGAAAAATAAATGGACTCCAAAGTACACGGACCCCTTAGACAGGGCATTTTGAATTTTTTCTTGGATGAAAATGAGGCTGTGAGGGATAAACCTGGTCTGTACAATGGCACACACTGTGTATAAAAGCCCTACACTTTCCATAAGTCACAGGCAACTCGCACCCGTTTTATTTTTGAATGCATTTATAGTTACATTAATTACAATAAATTACATTATGTAAGGAATAATTGATGATGGGCTGTTGAATTATTAGAAAATAATGCACACCCAAGGTGGTTTTGGACCCATAAAAACTATTGCCACAAAGATGTTAGAAAAATTATTTTTCTTTGAAGCTAGGCTGTGAGGGATAAACCTAGTCTGTACGATAGCACACACTGCGTATAAAAGTCCTACATATACTTTCCATAAATCACAGCCAACTCACACCTGTTTTATTTTTGAATGCATTTATAGTTACATTAATTACAATAAATTACATTATGTAAGGAATAATTGATGACGGGCCGTTGAATTATTAGAAAATATAATGCACACCCAAGGTGATTTTGGACCCATAAAAACCATTGCCGCAAAGATGTTAGAAAAATGAGTTTTCTTTGAAGCAAAAAACTGCCACTAATACAAAAGCAAAAAATAAACTAATGTAATAAAACATTCTCAAGCTTACTGAAGGCAAGTAAACACTCCAAGTATTACTTACAAGCTAAATGATAAATAAATATATTACTCAAAAATACAAATTAAATAGTTTTTTTTTTAGTTTGTTAAAACGTTTTTTTAAGTTTTTCATATTGTAGCCTAGTAAAGGCTTCTAGAAATAGCCTACTAAAGACATTTCATGAAGTAATAAATGTAAAAATAATCTTCACTGTATACATTAAATATAGATGATTCTTATTAAAGTTAAAGTGATTCAGTCAAGAGCAGTGAGTGATTTTCTCCTTTTCTTTTGTTTGCTTAACATTTATACTTTAAGATCTGACGCATAGATCAAATATTTTGACAAATACGTATTTCTCCCAACTGTTCAAGTTAACTTAAGACAAAACCGACTGCATTTACATGAATAGTCTCCAAGACGGGAATTTTGACATAACTTTTCGTGTAAGTGTGTAGCAATAACAGAATTTAAGAGAACTTAAGCGAAAGAACTCGGCATTCGCACGCTGACTGAGAGGCGCGTTATTCTGTGAGCGCGCCTTCGGTGTGTGAGCACAGAAATCCGTCGGCTTTCAAGTAGCCTACTGGACAAGACTTAAAAACACATGCAAATACTGAATATCCCTTTCGTGATAATGCATTGAGTCAGTGACATTTCCGTCAATTGTCCCTGGACTCGGTTGGACTCTGACATATTTTCTGAGTCCGAAAGGCTCAAGTCCGAGTGAAGTCCGAGTAAAAATGCATCCAAGTCCGTGACAAGTCCGAGTCCTTTAAAAAACTGTACTCGAGACCGGACTCGAGTCAGAGTACCCCAACTCTAGTAGTAAATGGTAGGGATGGGCGATACCACTTATTTTGTTTTCGATACAATACCTATATTTTTCAAGGCAGTATCGTCGATATCGATACCGATTCGATACTTCTGAACTCAGTTGAACTATGGTCACTTTAGTAAAACCATGTTTCATTTTCATAAGGGACTGCCAGTAACCGGCTGCAACATGCATAAAATGCAACATATTTATTCTGACAGTGTATGATTTCTATTAACATTACAGAATAGAACATGATCAATATTATCTTTCAACGTTCAATTTAAATAACTGTAATTGCACAAACTATGTAGGCTACAATTTCAGTTTGTTTATAGTGAAATAACTCAAACACATATGTTTTTTTTTCTCTTTCCTCTGATAAGCATTGTTCAGGGCTGCCGTTCCCAAAAGCTTTAATGCTTTCTTATGATACTTTTGGGAAACGCAGCCCTGTTTGAATGCACTGTCAGCAGTGAGTGAATGCTCTCTGTGATGGATTTGTTCTGTCTTGCAACATTTGCGTGTTCAGATGAGCAGGAAAATAGTTCTATCTTACACAATTACTTGCTAACAAAGGTTATTCGTCCAATTCAATGCATATTGTACGCATTCTTTTTTTGAATTAACAAAATCACTGGTAAATAAAACACACCTTAGTATCGATATTTTTTGTTTGAGTATCGATACTTTCGATACTCGCGTCAATATCGATATATCGATACTTTGGATCGATACGCCCATCCCTAGTAAATGGCACAGCCTTCCCAGCTCTTGAAATCTTAATGCAGAAATGTGTGTGTGTGTGTGTTTGGTGACACTCTGCCTCTTCAGCGTCTAGTTCCACACACACAGACTCCTCATTACTCCACTGTAGTATTGATGTCTCTCAGCCCTTTCACTTTTACTAGACCTCTGAATTTACTACTGGCATAAACAGGCTTTAATCAAGCTGTATTAACAGCTGCTGGTATAAATGTGAAATATGTAAAATCAGAATCTCTTATTTACCAGTTAGATTTAAAGTAGTAGACACAGTTTATACTATGGAGGATTTAAATAAAAACACTGAGTGCATTTAAATGCAAGGCCTTGCACAGAATATGCCTAATAACCTGACCATGTGTAAGGTTACTTAAACCTTTTTTTAAGGTAGCAAGTCATAAACAGTTTCAGCATAACCTCATTTGCATGTTGCTTTCTTCCCATTAACCTAATTTTGCTCTTTAATCTTTGCTAGTGTGATTATTGCTTATTCAGTTTTGTGAATACGTCTGTAAATATTATGATGTCAAAACAATTTCAAAATCTAATGTAAACATTGTTTGTCTTGTCTTTATTATTATTATTATTATTTATTCAAAAGTGACAGTAAAGACATTTATAATGTTACAAAACATTTCTATTTCAAATAAATGCTGTCCTTTTAAACTTTATTCATCCAAGAATCCTAAAAATTTATGACTGTCTCCACAAAAATATTAAGCAGAACAACTGTTTTCAACATGGATTATAATATGAAATGTTTTTGAGCACCAAATTGATATTAGAATGAATTCTGAAGGATCTAATAATTCTAATAAATATTCTAATGATATTTCACAATATTACTATTTACTGTATTTTTGATCAAATAAAAGCATAATTGGTGATTTATAAGAGACTTCTTTCAAAAACTTTTTAAAAATCTTACTGACCCCAAACTTTTGAATGGTAGAGTAAATGGACTTAAGTATTTAGCTGATTAACAGGTAATTTTAGTGTTTTGGTGGCATCTAACCTAAATGTAATCGCAAACGTTTACACACACAGGCACACACACATACTGTACTTCCCATTGACTTCTATTGTTTTTTAATTAAGCTTATTATAATTAGTGCAGACTGACCCTAACCCTTTTGGCATTTTTAGATTTTAATTAAAACATCATTTGGCCATTTTATGAACTGTACTTGTGAGGACATCCTCATGAATTAGTTTTAAGAGGTTTATTTGTGTCTTTATTTGTGAGGACATGTTGAGACCCTTGCAAATATAGCACACACACACACACACACACACACAGAAAAACCTTTGTTTTTTCCTGTAAACTGTCGGAGGTAAATCACTGAGCTGTTTATTTAGCAATAAACTGGCAGAATGAAGACCGAGGACATCTCAGAAAAAAACACTCATAAACACACACATACAATGAACTGCCCATCACAGGCCACACTTAGAGTCTTTTATTTATGGCCCTCTCTGTCAGGCCATTCACTAAACCGGTCTAATTTGCTTTATACAATCCTGAATCCTGATAAGACACTCTGATATGTTGCTTTTATCACAATTAATATTGTTAATGCTTTCTCCTCTGCATTATTATTCAGCTCTACCTTGTTTATCAAAATCTGAATTGCAATTTTTTTTTACTGCTGTTCAGAGTCTTTTATTCCCCAGCTTTGTTTAGTCATTTTAATTTCCTGTTTCATTAAGTCAAGCTGTGAATCTAAAATTATGTGAATTACTCTCTCCTCTCTGTCCTTTGTTACTATAGCGACGGCTGGGCGATGCTGCCAAGAAGGCCATTAGCAAGCTGACTACCAGGACAGTAAAAAGAGGGGACAAGGTGAGGTCTTTTGACGTCATTGCTTGTTTACTTTTCTCAGGCTTGACTCTATTTATGTCATGTTCGCCAGACTATAGTAAACAGCACTGTGTCCTATTATGGAACTGTTTGTGTAATTCTCCATTCATAATGCATCTCCGTATTCCATTAAGGACTCACTGGACACGTACATACTGCAGCTAAATATAGTTGTCACTATTCTTCTGAGTGCTTAATCACATTCTTTATGCGTTCAACAACTGTATTAACTTCTGAAAAATACAAGTTGTTACAATCACATTTACATTAAATCCAGGTTTCAGTCTAGCAGCAACCCATGCATTACAGTCTGCAAAGAGTGCATGCGGTTTAAAAGCAGACGCCTAAAGAGCATAAACAAAATGCGGCGCCTTTGGAAATTGCTGGATGGTGATACGTATCTGCTCACTATTATTACTTTAGAAAAAGCAAACTCAGAGCAGGTTAAATTGTTGAAATCCCTGTTTCTGTTTACAGCAAAACAAACAACACTGCACTGCATGTACTGGTTTTAACAAAACTAATGCACAGTAAATGCATCATTGCTTGCATAATAGAATGCATAATAATTTTTAAAAGAAATCTTTTAATTAAATCAAGGATTTAATAAATTAATGATAAGTGACAGTAAAGACATTTATAATGTTACAAATAATTTCTATGTTTTTTTTGTTTTTTTTAACTTTCTGTTCATCTAAGTATTTAAAAAATGTATGGCAGTTTCCATAAAAATATTGAGCATCACAACGGATTTCAACATTGATGGTAATAAGTGCTTCTTGAGCACCAAATCAGCATATATTCTGGCTGCTGAAAATTCAGCTTTGCCATCACAGAACTAAATTACATTTTTAAAATATAATTTAAAAAAGTAAACTCAGAGCAGGTTAAACTGTTGAAATCAGTTTTTCTGTTTACAGCAAAACAAACAACACTGCACTGCTTTTTGTCCTTTTTATAATTACGTAGGGATGTAGGGATCTTGGGATTTTTGCAAAAACTAACGCACAGAATATTGATGCATATATTGGAGTATTACTTGTATAATAATATAATGCATATTAAACCTTTGCTCAAGGTCTTAATTTAATCAATAATTGGCCATTGGCTCATCTCTGAAAATAATCTTGCTGAATGTACCACAGAGTCCAAAGACAGACATTGACCTGTGTAAAGGTGAATGACTGTCAGGTGAGCGATGAGGTAAGAAGGGTCGTGAAACTTCACAGCTGTTCGGTTTGGAAAAAGGGTGGAGCCGTGCCAGTCAGTGTGTATGATAGCCCTGTCAAGGTCAGCTCACATCAGCCATGAATAAAACATTAGTGGCCTTGGAGAAGTGCTGCAAGAAATTGAAACCTTTCATCTGAGAGAGAGAACATCTGTCTGTCTTTCTCTGCCTCTGTCTCTTTCTCTCTCCTTTTTCCTTTTCCTTTTCATGTGATCACATACGCATTTTTGGTCAGTTATGACGCATTTTCCAGTGATAAAGCATCCTTACAGCTTCACTGCCTTGGCTGAAGCCTCTAAGCCTCTGAGTATCAGCCATGTCCCTCTGCAGGGACTGACCGGACCAAAGTCGATGACTCTCACGCTGAGAGGGCCCCATTAGAAACTGAACACCACTCACCACAACATGACCTTGACCATGCAGAGTAGACAGGACACTGCCAGGTGACGGAAATAGCATCTAGAGTAGAGAAGATGCTTCCAGGAAGAACAGGGCAGAGTGTGATATAAAATCTAGGATGATTTTTGTCACTTTCTAAATGGCTCTATGCCCAGGGAGGTCTGGTTAGCTGCCTGAGTGATGCGTTGCCTGCTACTAGAGGTATATTTATGCTATGATAATATATAAATAGTATTTGAAACTGTTACTGCTGCTTGGTTTCCTGCATAATGTTTAGTCTTATAGGAAATTCATTAGCAAATTAATTAATTATTTAGCTTTAAAGGGGTCATATGATGCTTTTTTAAAGATCATT